TCTTTCCCTGCTTTGTGAGTCCTTGAGAGCTCTCGTGAGAATAGTTTCCTGGCACAATATCATCCAGGTATTCAAAAGCTGTGCGCAGTTCTCCATGTTCACTCATATAGTCCACCAGCCGTTTTAGAAAACTATGATTGCCCGTGGTCCGAGAGTCACAGATCACTGCCACATGGCGTCGGGCACGTGTAATTGCGACGTTTATTCTCTGGTCTTCTGCAAGGAATCCCACTTCACCTATGTATAATTTAAAAACAAACCATCAGGCATTCAAAACCAACCTATGGGAAGCCATATGCACACTGCTACCTTGAGCCCATTTATTCAGAAATCCCACTGGGTTTAATGGGATTATTCCCAAGTAAGTACACATATGATTACACCCTTATTATTCTGTTCTTTCCCTGAATGCTCTGTGTGTATCACCTCAGTACTTTTTACAAGAAGCCTATAAATTAGGTTATTTTCTGATTTCGTTACTATGATCAGCCAAGTGATTTTTAATAGTTGCACACTTTTATCTGAATACTTAATACTCAGTCTTAATATATGGATCTGAATGGCAACAGAGAGATCCAAATCACTGAGATAAGCACATGTCTAGATAAGCAGAACTTTATGTAGAGTTAGTTCCTAAGCAAAATTTTTGTGCTTTTTCTTGTCATGTTATATTGACTGGTTGTGTTTTAACTGATATTTTATATTTTATTGTGAATGTATACTGCTTGTCAGTTCTTGGAAGCCGCCCTGAGCGTGCCTTGCGGGGAGAGCGGGGTAAAAGTGAAATAAATAAATAAATAAATGTGGAGAAACCTCAATGAAAACCAAGCTGTACGTGGAAGAAGTCTAGTCTACCTGGATGGGAGTTCCCCCAAAAGACCACAAAGCATGAAGTGTAGACAAGTGTTATTCTTGCCAAACAAAAACAACTGGTATATTGAGCCACAGATGACTTATTCAACAGGAGAACTCAGAAATAAATTATCACTTTGGGTCAATACATAGTTCACAACTATACAATGGTCCTATAGTCATTAGAATAAAAGCACATGACATGTGAGGTTTCCTAGAGTGTCACAATCTGTGCCCAATACATAATTCTAATGGGGTATGATTGAGGAATTGCAGAGTACATATATGCCATCATACCTGATCACCATAACACATCTTGGTTGATACCAGATTTAGAGATCAGCACCAGAGGCTGTTCATAACAAATTTGGATGTTGTTTTTGATTAGTGAAATATCACCTGTCTGTATTCTACTTATTTTTCATTTTTGTTTTCTGAAGTACATTTTTCAATCACTGTGGAAGTAAAAATAAAAAATACTCTAGACTCCTAAGTTTGGTTTAAAAATTATTAGGCTATGCTCTATTTTCCTCCCACTTAAACCACCCTATGAGGATATTAACAAGGAACTGTATCCTGTAAGGAATTCAATAAATATTTCTAAAAATTATTCTTTCAACAATTTCTATAACACATCAGGTCCCCAGTCTTTTTACAGGGTTTAAAGACTTTAAATGGTTGATTAATAATCTAAAGCTTTTGTTGATTAACAGCTATTACAAATTTCAAATTTATAATAAATATTTTACATAAATAAATCAGAGGCTGATTTCAATTTTAATTGGCAACTTTAATTGGTGGAACATCTTAGTTTTAAAATACTATTTTGGTTCTGGTGTGTTACTGTAAGAAGGAATTTAAAAAACCTGAAGATAGCCTCCCCTTACCACATTGTAATAGGTTTAGTTTATTATATTGCAAACACAACTTCGAATATCTTTAAAATTACGTTGCAATTTAGGTAATATGTAAATATACTTAGAGTTAATGGATTCATTAATTGATAGAAAACAGGTGCTCAATCAACTACAATTCTTTTACTGATTGACAGCCCTACTTATTATATGGTTCTACAGTGGTCACAATGGTACTGTACGATCACCTTCTAAGAAATCAGTTTATCCTGTTTTTCTGATTTATGATGACGCGCTGAGCAGTTGCACCTCCCGGACCTCCCGGGGGTGAAGCTGCGTTCTGGCCGAAGGAGGGGGTGCGCAGGATCGTCACCCCCCCAGAGACCCGGCTGAAGGGGCTCTGGCCATGGGACTCTCGAGGGGTTGCCTCTTCGCCGGCGTGATGCTGGGGAATTGAGGTGCCTCTCCGTCCCAAAGGTTTTTCGCGCTATGAGACCGAATGGAACCAAGCGACGCTGACCGGGGCAAGCGCAGGAGGTCGAGCGAAAGCAACAGAGCTTAAACGAGGTCTGAGGACCAACTATGAACGTGAGTTCAATCTAAGCGTTTAAATAAAAGGAAAAGAAAGCTCCCCAAACCCCCCACGGAACAGAAAGTGAGGCGAGCGGGGGAGGGACGCCTCCCAAACGCACGTACTTAAAAGCGAATTGGAGGGGGGGGGGAGTGGAAGAAAAAGCGAATAAAACTGTTAAGAAAGACTTACCAAGGCAAGTTCGAGCGTACAAGCACATAGTCAGAGACTATTAAAATATCGGTTAAAGTAAACAATCCATAAAGATGGCGGGGAAGAGGACAGAGAAAGAGAAACTTTTAAAAGCGAAAGGGATTGAGAGCCCAAGACCGGAAGCAACCAGCGAGCTGGCAAAGACATTGGCGGAATCCATGCGCCCTCTGCTGGACCAGATGAATAATCTCAAGCAGCAGCTGTCAACAATGAATCAATGTATCACCACCCAGCAAACACAGTTGAGTGAGACACTTAAAATGATGAATCAAACAGCTGAGAAGGTGAAAGAAGTGGACGCCACTGCACAAAAGGTGAAGAAGAAAGTACGAAAGCTGGAAAAGAAGCAAATCTCCACGGAAGATCAGCTGTTACAACTACAAATGGAAAAAGCTAATTTGATTCTTCACTTTCAGGGCCTTCCAGAGACTAAAGGAGAGAATCTGAAGGAGAAGATGAGTGAATTATTGGCTCCAATGACAGAGATGAAGGCGGAATCTTTGCTGAGCGATATGGATGTGCCCTACAGGTCATATTCAGGATATATAAAGAAAAACAATCTGCCTGGGGAAATAGTGATAAGATTCTCGAAGAGATGTGTGAGGGATGCAATCTTGAAAGCGGCATCTGGAGCTTCTTTGAAAGTTGGAGATAATGCTTTCAGAATCCTAAAAGACATTCCATTTGAAATAAGACAAAGGAGAAAGAAGTACAAAGATTTAATTCTTTTTCTCCAGACAAATGCAATTGGATACAGATGGCTAACACCAGAAGACATGATCTTCAAAATCAAGGATAAAAAGGAAAAGATTGACTCTGTTCAGAAAGCACGGAAATTTTTGAGAGTCCAGATGGGAGAGCCAGAGGAGGAAGAAAAAGAAGGGATGGACAGTAAGTCCAGCGGCGAGCTGGACTCGGGGTCTTCCGGAGAGGACTCTCTATCAGAGAAAGGGGCAGCCGCCCCTAAAAGTCCTTATAAACTGCAGAAGAGACTGGGCAAGGGGAAATGAAGGACTCTGAATTGTGCCTTTGAAAAATGTTTTTTTTAATACTAGATGCTTAGGGGTCTTTTGGGTTAACAGTGATAGTTAAGATATGAAAAAGATAATACTATAGTTGAATCAGTTCATAATGGGATTAGCATGATTGAGAGATAACGTGTGCCAAGCTAACTAGATGATCTCCTCTCTTGGGTTTTTAGATAGTAGTGGGTATCTTTTCTTTATCCCTTAATGTAGTCCCCTTCCCTATTTCAGTTGTAGTTTGTAGTCTTTATAAAAATGCAATTAAAAAATCCCCTCCGGAGGGCCAAAAAGAAAAAAAAGAAAAGAAAGAAATCAGTTTATCCCATTTTATGTTTTACTGAAAGAAAATACAGCCAAATGCACAAGAGCCAGAAAACTAAGTTTCTGGGGCTTGCTGTAGTATACAAATCACTGACACTCATTCTAGGCTCACATAATTGCAATCTGGAGTGCCAGGAATGGAACAGCTGCGGTATTTACATGGGATGGCTCAAGCTGGTTGACTACGCCTAACTAAAGTTCATGTCTGCAATGGAACTGGGCTGAAGCAACAGGTCAGATCTGTATGGTGAAACAGTAACTAGCAAAGGGATGCTTAGACATGACCCCTGCGGTTATATTTTCATTGTCTCCAGTTGTTGACAAGAGTCTTAACTTTCATAAAGGGCAGACATGTATATAGTCTATTAAAAAGGAAATTAAACAGTGCGCACAAGCAAGGGCTTATATAAATGATAAGAGATGTGAGAATTCACTAGGAGCAACTTCTGATCTCCAATTATTTTTTCCAAGGATCTGTAATTTGTTGTTGTTCAGTCGCACAGTCGAGTCCGACTCCTCACGACCCCATGGACAAGATCACGCCAGGCCCTCCTGTCTTCTGCCGTCCTCTGAAGTTTGCTGATTGGTTTAGCATAGGAAAAGGAGTACGACAAGGATGTATATTGTCACCTTGCTTATTTAATACATATGCAGAGTACATCATGCGAGATGCTGGCCTGGATGAATCACAAGTGGGAATTAAGATTGCTGGGAAAAAGGATCCGTAATAACAGACAGCAAATGCCAAGATGAGTCAGCTCAGCCCCCAGCAGGGGTGGGTGGGGAGGTGGCAGAGTCCCCCTTGCTCCTGCAGCTATGCAAGAGACAAAAGAAAAAGAAAATTAAAGCAAACCAAAGGGGAAAGGTTTGCTCCCACCATTGTCCAAAGGGGTACAACATTGTAGCATAAAACCTGGTTGGCTTATTACACTGTATTACCCGGCAACTTGTGCTTAAGAAGAATAACCTGGGAAATAGTTATCAAGAGTCAAGAGCCTTTCACAATGTCAGAGCAATAGCGTGCTGTAATTCATTCCCTTAGCCTCAGAACATGAACACATCAGGGGGAAAGGCCTACTGCTTCAAAATCAGCCACAGCAGTGGTGTGTATTCTCTGTCTAGCGCTCATGAAAACAAAGATTCAGAGCCCTGCCACATCCCACCGTTTTTACAGATAAGATGCTGTCAGTTGAAGCAAAGATGTATGGTATGGTGTTCCCCTTAAGAACACCCCTTGGAAACAGACCAGCTTTTGGCTCACACTTGTAGCAGGACATCTCTCAAATGTTAAGAAGAAGAAGAAGAAGAAGAAGAAGAAGAAGAAGAAGAAGAAGAAGAAGAAGAAGAAGAAGAAGAAGAAGAAGAAGAAGAAGAAGAAGAAGAAGAAGAAGAGGAGGAGGAGGAGGAGGAGGAGGAGATTGGATTTATGCCCCATGGGAGGAGGAGATTGGGTTTCTACCCCATGGCCCTTCACTACCCAAAGGAGTCTCAGAGCGGCTGACAAACTCCTTTCCCTTCCCCTCCCCACAACAGGCACCCTGTGAGGTAGGTGGGGCTGAGAGAGCTCTGACAGAAACTGCTCTTTTTCAAGAACAGCTGTGCCAGAACTATGGCTTGCCCAAGGTCACCCAGCCAGGTGCAAGTGGAGGAGTGGCTCTCTGGTTTAAAATATTTTTAACATGGACCAGATCACGCCAAGCCTTCTCGCCGATTTCCTCGCAGGGGATCACTCTTAGAAACTGGTTTAAAATATTTATACCCTGCCTACCAACCCAAAGCATACCCAAGACTGCTTAGAACAATTCTGGAAATAAATCTTAGGTAACAAACTCATAAAAGAACAAAACCCTTTTACAAAACAGCAGCAGGAGCAACAGGGAGTAGCTGCAACAGGCTGAAATGACCACATACATAATGTATTCATTTTCACAAACTTCTTCTCCACACAGAAATTCTCTGAAATAGTATATCATTAAAACCAAAAAAGCTTAATCGACATGGAAAAATAAACAACAGAACAAAGAAATAAGAATAAAACAACCAACTTGAAAGAGAGCCAGTTTGGTGTAGTGGTTAAGTGTGTGGACTCTAATCTGGGAGAACCGGGTTTGATTCCCCACTCCTCCTCCACTCTCACCTGGCTGGATGACCTTGGGCAAGCCATAGTTCTGATAAGAGCTGTTCTTGAAAAAGAGCCGTTTCTGTCAAGAGTTCTCTCAGCCCCACCTACCTCACAGGGTGTCTGTTTTGGGGAGGGGAAGGAAAAGGAGTTTGTAAGCCGCTCTGAGACTCCTTTGGGTAGTGAAGGGCGGGGTATAAATCCAATCTCTTCTTCTTCTAGACACAGGACTCTGTGTCTGGCATCGAGTTGGGAAAGAAGGCGTCAACTGCTTGCGACTCGTGGGACAGGCCCGTTACAGAATTCTGTTAATCCCTGCACAATGGGTCTGCACTATGAAGAAACCACTCCCATGCTGCAGGAAGCTGGTGTGAAGATTAAAGGAGCACCAGCTGAAGCAATGTACTTTTGTTTATATCAATAATTTAACAGTACTTAAAATTCGGTTGACTTTCATTCCATTTTATCCACAGTTACAGCTATTAGGGAACATTTACCTTTTCTATTAGATCTTACAAACGAGAGGATAACAGCCTCCTTCTCTCTGCCCTGGAATCCATCCACTGATTTAATCTCCAGCTCTGGATACTTATGACTCAGACGTTCTCTTAGCATGTCCACCTGAAAAACAAAGTCATTTCTGAAACTAGCACCAATTCCCCACAAGCAGCTGTGCCGCCCTCGCTCTTCCATTTCCCCCGGTTGCACTTGTCAATTTCACACTATTCGCTGTGTGGCCACATTTTGACCCACATCTCCCCCTGATTTCCCCCGCGTCTTCTCGATCCTTGTTTTTTTTGAGATCAAGAAGACACGGAGGAAATCAGGGGGAGATGTGGGTCAAAATGCGGCCACGCAGTGAATAGTGTGAAATTGACAAGTGCAACCAGGGCCGGCTCCAGGTTTTTTTGTACACTAGGCGAGGCTACCTTCTGGCGCCTCTTGGTGCACCCACCAATTTTCTGGTGCCCCCCCCGCCCCAGCACAACAGCCCCAAGGAAGAAGAGGGAAGAAGGGAACGGGTGCCGCTGGGGGTGGCCTCAGCCCAGCTACTTGCTTGCTTTCCTCCCAGGAATGGCCCCCCTGAGCCCCCCCTTCCCGGTAGGGGGCCCGCTGGAGGCCAGAGCGGCGCAGAGTCCCCAGAGGAGCGCGCCTGGAAGCCGGTCTCTGCTGCCGCTGTGCGGGGTCGCAGCAGCGTCGCCTCTGCCTGTTTAGGCAAGGGAGGGGAGGGGCAGCAGGCCAGCAGCCACAGGGTGCCCTCTCTTAAGGGGCTGCTCTAGGCCGCTGCCTAAAAATTCTCTATGACAACCTGGCCCTGAATGCAACCAGGGCAAACGGAAGAGCAGCACAGCTGCTTGTGGGGAATCGGTCAAAGAGTATGGCAGAAGCAAGGTAAAAGCAATAAACATCATCCATCTACTCCTCCCCCAAATCTCAAATATTATAGGAATCAGAACAAGTATCTAATATGCTAGAAGGTCATGGTCCAAAAGCTTGAGGAAGAGTAATACCCAAATTCTGTTCTAAGTTAAATACTCTCTGGTCTTTCAGAATATGAGCTGTGATCTATGTGGGAGTAGGGGGCTCTCACAGTTCTGTTCCTCATTGGCAACTGTGAGAGAAATGGCAGCCTCCCTTATTTACCAGAGCCTAGTGGGAGATGGAGAAGGTTAGGTCGGTTGACTGACTAGTTCTCCAATAACTAGTCCAGCCCAATGTAAACGTGCTGGGAAATCTCTGACAATCAATAATATGCTAATGTAGGGACTTTAGTCTTACTGTGAAGGTTCCTTCTATTTGAGGTAGAGAAGGACATCCTGACATTTGGGTATGCCTCCTCCCATAATCCCTGGAGTCAGGATATTAGGTCATTTTCTTCCCACTGACAAGGAGAGGAGTATCACCTTCTTCAGTTAAGAGGTTTTTAGAGCTTTCCATAGAAAATCATGAAACATGCTGTCATTTGTTGCTGCCCACAAGACTTAGCACTGCAAGGTGTGCAAGCATGTAATAATAATTATTCAAAAACTTGTAAGCACGAGTATGAAAAATCCGTCAATGCAAAAGTGCACAATTACAATAATACAACAAATATTTTGTGTTGTTACAGGTGATGGACGAAATTCTCCGGAGTACCTTCCGTTTCGTGAGAACTTCTTCTAACATCAAAAATTCATCAAGATGTGTCTTCATTGGTTCATAGAATTTCCGAGAGGATTCACCGTTTTTCACCAAGGAGAGTAGTATTCATTCCTGATACGCTTCAGAACATAATACAGAATGCGGGCTTGATGAATTTTTGATGTTAGAAGAAGAAAGGACCCCTCTCCTCAGGGGCAGGAGGAAAATGACCTAATACCCTGCCTCTGATGATGCAGGGAGAAGGAATACCCAATTGTCAGGACGTACTCCCCTGCTCAAACGAGAATGGTTATCTGACCATTTTATGTACACATAGGCAAGTTCTTATGCCTCTCTACTTCCACCAGGCTGGTGAAGCCTTTTCTCCATTTCCTTCTCACCTCCCTTCCCAAGGTGGGTAAAGTATGACCACACTTGATTAACTTCATTCACTGTCAAAATAGATACACCAAATGTAGTAATGATGAAATTAATGATGTCGTTGCAAAACAGATCAGATATGAAATTTGAAATATAAAGTGTCTGAAGCACTGACTATTCTATGGAGAATGACATAAAAATTGTGGTGAAGGGGATGATGGGGAGAAATATTTTCTGTTTTATATACCCTGTAGTGTATAATAACTTTTGATATATATAATTTGTTATATAATTCTTTTCCTCTTATATCCCCTTTATATCATGTTTTCTAATATATACACACACACACACACACACACACACATATACACACACACACGCACACACATATATATACACACATATATAGGAGCTGCGGTGGTTCAAGTGGTTAAGACGCTGAACTGCAGGCTGTGGAAGGTCAGTAGTTCAGCAGTTCGAGCCCCGAGTGTGCCGCATGACGGACTGAGCTCCCGTCTCTAGTTCCAGCTCCTGCCCACCTAGCAGCTCGAAAGCAAGAAATTGCAAGTAGAGAAATAGGTACCACTTCGGTGGGAAGGGAACAGCGTTCCGTGCGCCTTGGTGTTTAGTCATGCCGGCCACATGACCACGGAAACGTCTTCGGACAGCGCTGGCTCTTTGGCTTGGAAACGGAGATGAGCACCGCAACCCTAGAGTCGGATTCGACTGGCTTTCGAGCAAGGGAACCTTTACCTTTAGTGTATAATAACTTTTGATATATATAATTTGTTATATAATCCTTTTCCTTTTATATCCCCTTTATATCATGTTTTCTAAAATTATACACACACACACACACACAACCCCCCCCCAAAAAAAAACCCAGATGCACGAGAAACAAGATCTCACTGCTCAGAACCAAGCTTAAGGGTTAGCAGCTCTAGAACAGTGCCTGAGTTGTCACAAGAGCAAACTTAGCCCATTCAAATCGAGAAAACCGCTGGAGATCTGGATTCCACCGGTACACTGAATTTGTAACACAAGATATGCTGTAAGGGTAGTTTGTGCATTTTGTTTTTTTTTAAAAAAAAAAAAACTCTGCAGGCCACGGCAGATGCACTCACCTGGAGATTGTAAGGAGCAATGACAGCGATGTCTCTTGCTTTCACACCCGCTCCTACCAGGGCCTGTACATGCAAGCTGACAAGACGCACTTCACCTAGAAGGGGAGAACCAAACCTAGCAGTGATTCTGGACTGAGAAAAATCATTGCTGAGTGTAAGTGGCTAGATTCAATTGCAAAAAACACCCAATTCGACCAGTAGTGGAGAAAGGCATCTTTTCATTGCCCAGCTTGTATTTACATCTTCTATATCTATAAAAGAAAGTCCCCTCACTGTAAAATCAATGCCCAGGCCAAACCGCTGGACCTAGAGACACCAAACTCGGGGAGAGCGCTCCTACCGTGGCATAGGTGCTCGCTAAGAAGGGATTTTTGGAAATCTGACCCCTAAGTGGGTCAAAAGGGGTAAGATGTGCTCCCTCCATTGATTCCTATGCGGCTGCCAGGCAGCTGCCTCCCTGCACCCACCACTCTCTGATTGGACAGCTGCAGAGCTCAGTGTTCTGAGGTAAAAAAACCCCAGTTGCACGGGACTGCAGAGAGCTAATGACAGTTGAAGAAATCAGGAGTGGCTAACAACCACCTGTGAGGTGAAGCAAAGCTGCTGGCCCAGCCTCCCTATGGCTTCAAACATGCTCCCCCCTCCTGCACCTGACAGGCAGTTGTCTGTCAGGTGCAGCAGCAGTTGCAGGGTGCTTAAAGCCATGAGGGAGCCTGCCCTAGCAGTAACTCCTTAGTGACCCTGCCAGCCCTGCCTCCACAGTGACTTCTAATACTCCTCCCCCCTCCCCCTCCTACACTGGACAGGCAGCTGCCTGTCAGGTGTAGGAGAGGAGATGGGATGCTTACAGCCGCTAGGGAGGTTTGCTCAGCAAGATTGCCTTAGCCCTGCTGCTGGCCCAGCCTCCCTGATACCTTTAAACATAACCACCCCCCCCAACACCAGACAGGTGGGTGTCTGTCAGATGTAGGAGCAGGACCAGGGTACTTTAGTCCATCAGGGATATCGCCCCAGCAGGATCACCTTAGCGATGCTGCTGGCCCAGCCTCTCTGATGACTTCCAACACACTCCCCCTGCCTCCTACACTTAACAGGCGGTTGTCTGTCAGGTGCAGCAGCGCTTGCAGGGTGCTTAAAGCCATGAGGGAGCCCACCCCAGCAGTCTACAGAGACGTTCTTCAGTAGAGAAAAAAAAGTATGTTATGTCTCACTTCATTTTTACGCTACAGTCTTCTCCACTAGAATTCCTACAACAAACGTTACATTTCAAACTTTACATCAGCAATATTATACCTGGATTTACGGAAGTTAAATACCATAGCGAAGTATGGGTATCAGGCTAGTTCACTATATACCTTTAGATCATTTTGCAGGAAAAGTCAAGAATACAGGATACCAAAGAAGTTATTTACCAGTTACATAATGTGAACATACATAACCATTTGTCAGACTATAGTTTGGGACCTTGTTCAGCAGTGAGTCAGTGGTTTGTTTATAAAAATTGCTTACTTTAATTAATGTCAGTAAACGGCCTTGAATGACCAGGCAGTCTATAAATAACTTGAATAAAGAAAAACAGGTGCAGAGAGTATCACAGCTGCAGCTCAACCTGCTTTTGTGAAATCTGAGTTGGTGTGGTGAGCTATGTCCGGGGCATATGGCAAAACAGATGCCTACTTTAGAACAGATTCAAATGCTTTTGGATTTCCTTCCAGATCCAGTCCAGATGTTGTGTGCTACTGAAACAAGCTTCATGTGAGGGTTTGCAGACAAGAGGTGAGAAAGCAGGTCTTAAGATTAACATCGAAATCACTAATGTAACACTTGCAACCCTGGAAGATGAAACTTCTATAACTAGAACTGGCTGACAATTTATTCAGTATAGTTTTATATTTACTCTTCTGCCTTTGAAGTAATTCAGTCTGGGAAGCCAAATGCTTGCGCATCCATCTCCTTGCAGTGCTCTGAAAACAATGGTTCTGACATTGACAAGGGCCACCTCATTTGTTATTTATCTCATCTACCAAGAGAATGCATATATCCGACACACGTTTTTGCTCCATGTACATGGTTCTGGGATGGGTGTGAACGGCACACATATTGCAGTGAAAAAGCTATACGAAAAAGTGTTGCACTTTATGATCTAGACACCGATTTCACATTTGGTCCCACGTGGAAGCGCTTTCTGCCGAGACACTGGACTCAAACCACATACGTCATAAGAAGTGGCCCCAACTTAATCTGCCATCTACACAAAGCCAAGCCTTTCTTTATTGTTCTCACTTCAGACACTATGATTCCATGCAAATATTTCTTCTTCTAAATGAGGCTTTCCCATTTTTAGATGTGATCTCTCATTGTACTCTTCTCTTGTGATAACACAGAGAATCCAAGCCTTTCCACTGATGCACGCCCCCCCTTCCCATCACCTATTTGTTGTTAGCACAGTCTAATATTCCAAAAAGAATATGGGTAGTGTGGTATCCAGTCATGCTAGAAACGATTCTGCTTATTCAGGACAGAGACAAAGCTTCACAGCATTGCTAGGCTGAGCTGTAACTCTAAGGTTCAGTGCTCAGGGCTCCGGCTTTCTGTCCTTGTTCTATATGCCATTAGCACAGTCAAGCGCTTGCTGTCCCATTAACTGCAGGGATTTGTGCCTGGTATAAGAAAAGATCTGACAAAGTGCTGTGTTCCGAAGCAATTAAAGTAAAAGTTCTTTTTGAGCTTTGCAGTACCACAAAATGTGTGGGGAACTCAAAGAGTGGGAAAATTGGGGTTGACTTTTTTTGCACTGACAACTCACAGCTCTGCTCTTTGTGTCAGAGCCTGTGCTGCAATTCAAGAAAGCTATTCAAAACCCTCTCACCTGGGCTTCCTACTGAACCCCCTTTGCCCTACATGAAAGTACAGGGTATCCTTTCTTAGGCCAGCTGATTGGATTAGATATACTTCCAGCCCTGAGACAGCAACTCCTTCCTCCTCCTCATTGCTATTCAGAAAATGCAAGTTCTTTGTACAAGATCCCATCTTGTTGAGCAGAGGTGTCAAACTCATTTGTTACGAGGGCCAGATCCAATGCTCCCCTCTAAGCTGTGGAGTGAGTCTTGCGAGCCGTGTGCCATAAAAGGTAACATGAGGTCACAGAGATATAAACATTATAAAGATGATTTCAGATGCTGAATGGCAATAGCAGGCATGATTGGATTAGGTGTGATATGCAGAGGGGTAGTAGGCATGGAGATACCAGCATCAGTAATGAGACCAGGAACCTAGGTCTCAATTTGGTACAGGAGGATCCAGGCCAGGAGGATGCAAAGAATAAATGGAAATAAGTCTAAAGAAGTGAGCAGTGACTCACGAAAGCACATACCCTGCCACAAATTTTGTCAGGCTTTAAGGTGCTACTGGACTCCTAACTCTTTCTACTGCTATTAGAAACCACACCATTCAAAAACCAGTAAGGAAACATTTAACCCTCCAGGGCATTCAGTTGCTGAACTAAGAGTAACAGTTCCCTTACAAAGGAATTTCAAAGGGAGATTAGAAAGAGAGACTGCTGAATTGCAACTGATAATGAAACTCAAGGCAATGCATTCTCCTGGACTAAATTGAGACCTAGGTTTCTTCTCTCATTACTAAAAGCTGCTATTGTCATTTGCTGTTTGAAATCACTTCACTCTCCAAGATATAAGGACAGATGGACTCACATTCTAGCTGTATCTGAGGAAGTGAGAAGTGACTCATTAAAGCTCCTGCCCTGCCACAAATTTTGTTGGTCATTAACGTGCTACTGGACTCTTGCCTCCCTTCAACTAATAAAGAATGCAAGCTGTGCTGTTTGGTTTCTTCCCCACCCACATCTGTTAGAACTGGAAAGGGGGATCTCTCCAAGTGCCATGGGACTCCATCTCTCTCTCTCTCTCTCTCTTTCTCTCTGGTGTGCTCTCTCTGGCTTTTCCCTCCTCCCCTCTCTCTGAAGAAGTGTGCTTGCACACAAAACCTTATACCTGGAATAAAACATTGTTGGTCTTCTTAAAAGTGCCATGGAACTCCGTCTCTCTCTCTCTCTCCTTTCCCAGAAGAGGAGGCGGAGGGGGAGGAGCCCTCAGCCAATTGAGGGAAGGGTGGCTTAGCTATCTTTCTCTCCTCTGAAGCAGGAAATAGGAGAGAGTGGGCAAAATGAGCTGCGATGCAGGAAACAGGAAGCAGTAACAGGAAGCAGTAGAGAGCCAGTTGCTCACAGGCCGGATAGCAGCCCTGCAGGGGCCAGATCTAGCCCGCAGGCCATATGTTTGACACCCCTGTTGTAGAGCGTCAATGAGCACTACCCAGTGAAATGAAATTTTCATCCCAAATGGGGACTTCTATCAACAATGGATAATTGTCCAGGGCAAAACTGTATTGTCTTTTGCAAGAATGGGGGAAACTATTGTCAAGAACCAGAAGGCTGCAATCATTAGTGGCCTATAGTTAACATAATTTTTGTGTGTACCACAAAATAAGGTGAGTGCCAAATTACAGCTTAATAAATACACATTCTTCTTTTACAATATTATTCCTGAGAACTTGTCAAATGAAATGTGAAACTTGGTCATGTGGGTCAAATGAAATGTGAAACTTGGTCGAACTGCTGAACTACTGACCGTCCACAGCCTGCAGTTCAGCGTCTTAACCACTTGAGCCACCGCAGCTCATTGTATTGTACCTAGCTGTAATTACTGTTGTTGAAAAATTTATAAATAAAGTATTTTTAAAAAACCCAAACAGGTTGGCTCTACACCCCTTTCTAAAGTCGAGAGGTGGGATGTGTATAACGTAACTCCCTGAGGAGGCTCTCTCAACAATCTTGGGCAACCCCTGAAAAGATCCTGCTACAAGCTATAGATGTTCCTGTATTAGAGAACTTGAAGAAGGGCTCTCAAAGATAACGGAAATAGGCAAAGGCTGGCTCACGTGGGAAGAGGTGCTTACTAAGATAATAAGTCTTGGGCTGCAAAGCTCCTTAAAAATCTCTAAGGCTACCTTTAAATGAGTCTGGAATCAAAGCAGAAGTCATCGTTGATGGTTTACTGCCCTGTGACATATCCAGCCACCTATTTTCCACTCTAGGTAACCATGAAACCAAAAGTAGTTTTCATCACTGCTTACATTTACTATTTAAGTGTCTGGCTTATTTCAGCCTTTGCAAAGATTGACATTAACATTGATTTCTATAATGAAGCCCAGTTTTTAAAGCCGTACAGAAAATATTTGCTTTAAAAGGGGGAAATATCCTAGAAAAGAAGTGTACACTTTCGTTGCAGCAGGATACATCTTAGGAAACACACAAGGCTGACATTTACATTAGCCAAGCTTATGTAAGCAACCCCTTTAAAGGAAAAGACTGATAGGTCACTGCCAAGGTGAAAGTATCATTGAACAGTCTCCAGTGAGGCAAAGATTATTCAACCCCAAGCTTTTCACAGCTTTTCCCATTTGAAAGGAAGGCAACAACCACATTGCTGCTCACCATTTCCAGCATTTCATAGCCTGAGTATCTATGCCTTCGTGGGTAATTTAAGGCTACAATCCAGAGCACACTTACTAGAAAGGGACATTTAACTATCTGTACTACTAGACTTGGAGCTGCGGTGGCTCAGTGGTTAAGAAGCTGAACTGCAGGCTGGAAGGTTGGTAGTTCAGCAGTTCGAGACCGAGTGCCGCATGACGGAGTGAGCTCCCGTCTCTGGTTTCAGCTCCTGCCAACCTAGCAGTTCGAAAGCAAGAAATTGCAAGTAGATAAATAGATACCGCTTCAGTGGGAAGGTAACAGCGTTCCGTGTGTCTCGGCCTCCAGTCATGCTGGCCACATGACCACAGAATCGTCTTCGGACAGCGCTGACTCTTTGGCTTGGAAATGGAGATGAGCACCGCAACCCTGGAGTCGGATTCGACTGGCTTTCGAGCAAGGGAAACCTTACCTTACCTTACTACTAGACTTCTGATACTTTTGTAAATCAGAATGAAACACAGGGCTTTGGAGAAAGATAGACATTCCTAGGAAAGGAATGTTGCTCCCAAATTCCAACAAGTAAACAATAATAATGCAGAACAAGGTTTGAATCCACTGGTACCTTACACTTTGAATAAAACTTTGTTGGTCTTAAAGGTGCCACTGGACTCAAACTTTGTTTTGCTGCTTCAGACCAACACAGTTGCCCACCTGACATAATAATGCAGGAATTAAAAACACTAAGAACAAGCTCTTTAAGTTAGACCAGAAAGCCAAAAGAGATGGTGCCAACTGTACTTCTGGGAGGCAGCAACTGAGAATGCCAGCCTCGCATCCTCTCAGCAAGTTCCTTCTAGCCAACCTCAGAGCCTGGACAGGTTCACATAAGTAGATGTGGTCCATCAGGTACTTTGCACCAGGGCTATTTTTGGGCAGGAACGCACAGGAACGGAGTTCCGGCTGGCTCCCGAGTTGGCCACGCCCAGCAGGAACTCATTAGCATAACAGGCCACACCCAACAGCAGGAACTCATTAGGATTGGCTACATTAGGGGTGTGTGGCCTAACATGCAAAGGAGTTCCTGCTACAAAAAAAGGCCCTGGGTTTTGACAACAAACAAGGTAAACAGAATAAGAAGCAAAAGGTGGGTGTGGCTGGATGACCACACTTCTGGTAACATGGGGGTGCAGCCTAATGTGCTAATGAGCTGTGCTGTCAGGGGTGTGGCCCAATATGCGAATGAGTTCCTGCTCTTGGGTGTGGCCTATTATGCTAATGAGTTCCTGCTGGGCTTTTTCTACAAAAAGAGCCCTGCTTTGCACTCAAGCTGTTAAAGAGTTTTAAATGTCAAAACCAACTCAGAAACCAACTGAGAGCTATAATAGATCCCACTGTCGAGGAGCAGGCACATTCTTAGCAGCAGACAAAAAAAAAATTACCTTCATTCCCTTTAGACGGTTCATCTTCCACCTCGAGTTCAAATAAGCCACAGCCAGCTGTATCTATAAGCAGCAATGGAATACTAGTCTCTTCAGTAGAAGCCACTCCAGGCAGATCCCTGACAAATTATTAGAAAGAACAAGACGTTAACATCACTCAAGTCGTACATCTGCTTTTTAAACCCTGGCACAATTTGATTATGAATATTTTACAAAGCCTTCAGAAACCAAACCAGAGTTCAGCAGAATCCCTGACTCTGTGGGATCCATGAAAACCTTTCATCATTCACCAACATGGAACCTCCTGTCGCCAAACAGCCTCTAGTGGTTTGGTATGCCACCAGGCCCAAGGCAAGCCTGGGAGTAGAAAGGCAGCCATAAAGTCTGCTGGCTCATGTGTTTGTTTTTCCATTCCAACTCATGGCTGAGGGAGCCAAGTGACACCGCTTGGTCACTGCTGCTCTGGGGTAGGCTCAGAAGGGCCACACTCTCTTCGGCCACCATGTAGCTTGGAAGTACATATCATGTTCTATACAGAAACCATCAAAACAAAGAAAACAGACCTCCCAGTGCAAGGACTACAAGAAAGCGTCAAAACTGGGGGGGGGGGGGACAGAATGGTGAACCCACTCAAGCCCTCAGATATGTAAGCAAATACAGTCACTTGGCTCAAGTGGTTAAGACGGTGAACTGCAGGCTGTGGAAGGTCAGTCGTTCAGCAGTTCGAGATCCGAGTGCCGCATGACGGAGTGAGCTCCTGTCTCTGGCCCCAGCTCCTGCCAACCTAGCAGTTCGAAAGCAAGAAACTGCAAGTAAATAAATAGGTACCACTTCGGTGGGAAGGTAACAGCGTTCCGTGCACCTTGGTGTTTAGTCACGCCAGCCACATGACCACGGAAACGTCTTCGGACAGTGCTGGCTCTTCGGCTTGGAAACGGAGCTGAGCACCGCAACCCTAGAGTCAGATTTGACTGGCTTTCGAGCAAGGGAACCTTTACCTTTACCATCCCAAAATATACAAAACTACATACAAGGCATAATAGCCAATACTATACAATATCTCAGTGATATATAATAAGACAATACAAATTGAATACTGATAGCCAAGGAACAATCATTAGAACAGTACAAGTAATAATCCTAGGAGCAGTGGAACAGTCATAATAGCAGTGAAACAATCATTTACAAAGCAGCCGGCTTTCGCTTGGTTTCGTATCAAGACTTCATCAGAAGCAAATCAACTTACACTGTGTTAGGATTTTTCTTGATTTATAATTGCACCTTTCTGATTTCTAAAGGCAGCTCTTCTCAGGGGTTGCTACAGTTAATGTTGGGACTTGCCCTCAATTCCTATGAAGATTTCTCATATTGGACCTGTCTATATGACACTGAGCTTCAAAGCCAAAGGAGTTATATATGGAGGAGATCACAGAATGAAACCCTTGAGTTCATCATGTGTTCTCCTACCATTCAATTGATATTACAGAATTAATACTCAGAGTTCTTTGTTAATACAAATTACAGTGCACATGCTAAATCCTGATGTACTAATTTAAATATTTTTAAAGTTTATTTTTTCCCTCTCTCCAAATCTAGGCTTGCTACTTGTCAACTATTTTCCACACTGAGCACTGGCTCCCAAAACCTACCATGAATGATCTACAAGATGATGCCCAGTTTCCATAGATAGTCACATGTAATATTTATAGGCTTTTGGCTACAGACATTTTGGTGTCAAGGTACTTTAGTTCACAAACAATTAAAAAGTTTTGGCCTGAGATTCAACTCTTTCCTACTGTCTACACTAAGCTTTTCAGAGTGTTTTAGCCGTATCCTTTGGTCATTCACAGATGACTGTGCTTCTCTACAGAACCATACACTTTGTCCCATCAGAGATGCTATTGTTTACAGGATCACCGATCCCATGGTGAGAGAGACAAGTCAAGAACTTTAATCATAGTAAGTGTTGTCAGTGCCCTTTTAACAAGGTATGATTACAATGACTCAGACTGCTCAGTTGATCACTGTCAATTCAAATCCAATCAAGTGTGAACCAGAGTTGATCCTGGATCCCAGATGATTCTGTAAATCAAGACCCAGGAATGTATACCTATGGACTCAGAAATGCAGAACCATCTCTAAGTATGGTCAGAAATTTCCCCCCGTGTCTATAATCTCCACAGAATTTGGAAGTGCTCCAATAAATAAGTAAAAAGGACTGAAAAGAGGGAAGATCTGTGCTTTCCCCACATGTGGGGAGCATGCTCCATCATTCTCTAACTTTGATGAAAGATCTTTGGGTGAAATTCCCAGGAAAGGGATTGAACCCTAAACAGAATGGAATTGAGGGATCTAATTTACTCATCCCTGCTTTTAATTCACTGTAATCTATGATTTACCCTTTGAACATAAATAAAGGTTTTAGGGATTGTTAATGTAGGATAGCCGGTTGTGTAAACAGACCATACAAGTCTGCTTCACTTATGCTGTGGTACCATTATTCAGAAATTGTTATCCTGAAGTCAAGTTACAAACAAAAACAAAAACATGGGTTTAGAAACCCTGACAGTGTGGCCTGTGTTTACTTAACTCAAGGTTTTCATTTACGGTACTTTTGCTGTCCAATTAGCAGGGGTCATTTCGTAGAAAAAGAGCTAGGGGAACTCATTAGCATAACTCATTAGCATATGCCACACCCCCTGACATCAGGGGCCCGGCGGTGGACCTGCAAGGCCAGCAGGAGTGCGAGGAAGCCCCGCCAAGGCCCTCCCTGGCCCCAGGCAGGCAGGGGTGGAGAGAGGCAGGGAGGAAGCAACTTACCCTCCCTCTTCTCCTGCCTCCTCCTGGCTGAATGAGGGCCGGAAGCAGGGGGCGGGGCTTCGTCATGTGCCCCGCCCCCTGCACTTCACCCGGGGGAACTGCGTTCCCCCGCGTTCCCCCCCGAAATGACCTCTGCCAATTAGAAACCTTTTTCTGCAGCTATGAAAACTTTTTAACTTAAAAAAGGACCACATATTGAAATATTCACGTCCTCTTCAGGCTACCTCAGACCACCTGACAGGAACATGCACTAACACCTTTGGGCTCCTGTTCTCCTTCACAAAAACAAAAAAGTCTTCAAAGCTTCTGGGTGTAAAAATAATAATCTCAATAAGTTCTTGTCCTAAGCAAAATACATCATCTGGGAAGTTGAATCTCATTTCAATCATTGCCAGGCTCCTATCAGGTAGCGGCTTGTACTTTTTAGAACTCGGAGGCAAATGAAATGCCATTTGATGTATTACAAGGGACAATGTTTTGACAGCTGTGATATTAGAAAAAGGCACAACACACAGTCCTGGTAACGTCAAACAAGATGCTTTTTAACAACAGTCCCTTGAGCGAAAAAAGCCATGTTAAAACCTACTTTTGTGGGGAAAGGCTTTAAACCGGGATGTCACGGGACTGAGTTCATGAAACAAACATTTATTGGTGATTTGAATGTTAAGAAAAATAACCGGTTTCAGTTGTTTATGGTCACAAGGACTCTGTTGCTGACCCGGGAACAGAACTCAGAACCCCTAAATGTACAAACAAAGGCCTTCACACCTTGATTTTGGAACATTTCCCTGAAGCCGCCCTGAGCCTTAACTATGCATGCATTCTACACTACATTTGCACTCTGCTGGGAGCAGAACAATTGCAGCATGCCAATCCTAACCATCCTTCTTTGAAAGGAGGCTCCACTGAGTTCACCCACAGTAAACATATCTAAAGTGGTGAAGGGAGCTTATACTCTAGAAACCTTGTTGGTCTTTAGGGTGCGGCGGGACTTGAATCTTGCTCTTCTATTGCAGACCAACACGGCTGGCCCTCCTAAACACACCTATGCTGCAGTCTTAAACAGAACGACGCCCTTCCAAGTCCTTTGGGCTTGCAGTCCAACTCTAATACTTCAATTTATTTTTATTTATTTATTGCTTTAACTTTTACCCTGCCCTCCCCGCCGGAGTAGGCTCAGGGCGGCTCACATAAAACCAATAAAACAATAGACATCTCAGTACAAAAATACATCTCAATACAATTTACATAGTAAACAATTTTAAAACTGTTAATATAGAGATGGGGGTACACAAATAAAGTGCATTTAAACGCGGTCGGGGGAGCTACCACTCGAGGTGGCTTCTAACTCTAGGTCGGCACAGAGCAAAGCTGATAGGTGTAGCTCCTATCGAAAAGCCTACTGGAAGAGCTCCGTTTCCACGGCCCTGCGAAATTGTGAGAGGTCCCGCAGGGCCCTGATCTCACCCGGGAGCTCCTTCCAGTAGATAAGGGCTGCTAAAGAGAACGCCCTGGTCCTAGTCGATGTCGACCTGGCGTCCTTCAGACCAGGGAGGGCCAGGCGGTTTTGTAACCCTGATTGCAGCGCTCTCTGGGGAACATGCGGGGAAAGGCGGTCTCTCAGGTAGGCAGGTCCCTGACCATAAAGGGCTTTAAAGGTCAAAGCCAGCACCTTGAAGCGAGTAATCCTTTGAGATGCAAATTTTTAAAAGTAGACTTTCCCTCAGTTTAGAAAGATTGCTCATACTGCGTCAAAACAGAGATATAGGATGACAGAGAATTTCGATCATTCCGTGGTTATTTATCATCGCTTATGGAAGATGTATAAAGCAGCGGTCCATGTGCTCTTCAGTTGGGGGACCCAGCAAAACTGGCTCCACTCGTATGCAGGGCTTTTTTTTGTAGAAAAAGCCCAGCAGGAACTCATTAGCATAATAGGCCACACCCATGATAGTGCAGCTCATTAGCATATTCGGCCACACCCCATGCCTTTCCTTGGTTTGCCCGGGCGCCCTGTGGCTGCGGGGAGCCTGGGCAAGCCGACCCTTGGACAGGTCAGGGAAGGCACGGGGAGGCATTTAAATGCCTCCCCCATCCTTCCAGGCCCCCCCTGCCTCAAGAGTCACCGGGGGGGGGTCGCTCTCCAGGCCTTCCCTCTGTAGCCACGCACACAGAGGTTTTGGCTGTAGTGGGCGTGGCCATTGCTGAAGCCAGCCGGAACTCCGTTCCTGTGCGTTCCTGCCCAAAAATAGCCCTGCTCGTATGCATATAGTTTTAGAAAGTAGGCATGTTGCTCTGC